ATTCAGACATTAATTCTGTTTGCTTCACAGCCAGACAGGACACGGGAATAAAATAAAATAAAATAAATAAATAATAATAGTTGAAAATTTTGAAAAAATTGTCTTCCATTGAACCACATTTATAACCATAAATGATCTTGATTCATTCTTTAAAGATGAATACATCTAATTACATCTAAGGGGACTATATTTAACTGACAATAGACACGCTTATTTTTCATGCATTGTGTAGCCACAGTACTGTTTCTTTTGTTTGTTTTGTTCTGTAGCTGTAACAAACTGCTTTACAGATCTTATTTATCTGTTCATGAGCACACTCACGTACAGCAACCGTGCAAAGTGCTGGCCTGCAGTCAGCAGCAACTTCAGTGTTTTATCCAAAGACACTTCAGCATATGGAGGATTTGGGGGAGCAAAATGCCATACTGCAGACGGACAACTCGCTCGGACACCTGAGCCACAGCCAAGACAACAGTCATGGATTTGGTTCAGTGATGTGATTTAATTTTGTGGAGGCCAGAATTAGCTTTGTTACTTATGGATTTATCATAAACGTTGCAGATAAGAAGAAATACATGCAAAACCACATGTGTTTCCTTTCAAATAATCCCTTTTGGATTATGTAGAGAGGTGTGAGCTCACCTTGCAGCCATATCTCACCCTTGTCTTCATCCCTCTCTCACTTATCTCTCTTGTAGTCCCTTTCGAGGTGCAGTTGTTGTCACAGCTGTCCTCTAAACAGACGGTCATGCCAACACTGTCTGTCTCTTCATCTCTGTCTCCTCCGACACACAGGACTGCATGTCAAGTTTTAGTGCAAGTGCTGGCTAGGGAATGAGCCTAAATGTCAAACTCAAGATGTCACACAAGCTTTATTTGGTCCTAACCAGTCATGCTTTCATCCATTCTTTATAAGATAGGGCAGACTTTAAAGCAGTGGCTGTTGATGCGTGAAATTTGATTCACTTCCAAGGCCGATGGATGGAGTTTGCGTCTCTGCTGTTTACATGCAAGGAAAAAAAGGAATAAGATTTATTTTATTTGCCAGAAGCTTCCTGCTTCAAGATAGGTCTGTGTTTGCTGCAGAACACCTCACGTGTTGTTTGTGGTGGATTTGTGCACTGGCAGAGCTTACAGCTCCAATCTGTGTCTGAGGTCAACACAACCCTAATGGTGGGTGCCAGCTTCTCACATGAACGTGATTTTCACTCTCTGAAGTGAAAGACTTTACAAAGAAATGTGGCTCTTTATTTGACCAAATTTCCTGCATTATTAAATGTTTCTAATGCACGACATGAGGCAGAAATTGATTTGCGAAGCTACAAAAACAGAGCAGCAGATTTATTCTGTAATTGTTAGCAACCATTTCACATCTAATCACCAACATGGGGGAACATGAAGCAGAACTGGGCTGAAATGCTACCTTATGAGATGTCTGTGCGTCCAACAACATTTCTGGGTATTTGGGTGCTGTTTGACTGCATGCTTCTGCATGTTTTCTCTATGTTCATGTGTGACTCACTCATAAGTGTAAACTGAGATTTGGCCATCTGCCTGAATTTACCCTACAGGAGCACAGAAGTGAGAAAAGCTGCTCCTTGTTAAGGCTGCTTCCAGCAGAGGCAAATCTCGGCACTCCGCTTGTGTCACTAATCTGTGAGATTTCATCAGAAGGGATAAATCTGTGTGATAGATTGTATTTTTATTTCTTTTCTCTCAGAGTGAACTGTTTATTCATCTTCGTATTAGCATGTTTTCTACATTCCTAAACACATTGTTCCTTTGGTTGTCCAGAACCATTTGTCTGATGTCACGGACGTGTTTGTGGGGGTTGAAGCAGGAGAAAGAAAGTTATTCTAAACTACTTTTCTGGAACATTTCCATTAGGAAAAAACAATTTAATAGTTTATTTTTGACTATGTAGAAGCAAATGAAGAACAATCAGTTGCTTTGTAGTAAAACCTTCCCGAGCAGACCTTGATTGGAATTTAAAAATATCTTCTCCTCATTAGTAATACAGTAGTTGACCCTTTAAAGCCTGACACAATGATAAAAGTTAGAAACTTATGAGCATTTTGTAGCTTTTTTATTTGATAAGCATATAAGATTACCTCTGCTGTACAAAGATCCTCCAGCAGGGGGCAGAAGACATGTGTTGTGCAAGTTTTTGAGGAATCTACTAATCCTGTTAAAGAGGTAGAGATCTTAGAGGTCGGCTCAACATTTGAGTCAGAAATGTGCATTTTTCACCCCCTAGTGTCCGTTTAGTAGAACTGAAAGTAAAACTAATCTCACTCTGCATTCATCTTTTTAAAACCTTAATCTGAAAGCTGAAATATCTCCCCAGCCTTTGTTAGTGTCTACAGGAGTGATTAATCACTAAATTAAACAAATCAGCTGTGTTCAGGATCTAAAACATGCAGGAAATGTGCTGTAAGCAGACTGCAGTGCATGTCAAACCGGACTGGCACTCTGAAGTTGCAAATTATGTATTCTGGCCATGGCAGGCAGTGGTGGGTCTGAGTGACATTTCAAAGTAGGGTTCTCACTTCTGGTCCTGGAGAGCTGGTATCTAGCATGTTTTACTTGTTCCTCTACTCCAACACACCTAATTCAGCGGTTGAATCACCTGTGCAGCAGCTCACCAAGCTCTTCACAAGCCTGTTAATCCCCTGCTGATTGAAATCAGGTGTGTTGAAGCAGAGTTGACACCAAAACATGCTGGATACTGGCTCTTCAGGACCAGGAGTGAGTACCACTGCTGTAAAGGGTCATTTTAGTAAATATTAGCTCAAGAAAATTTGAATATTAAAGATAAAAAAATTTGAAAAAGTTGCTAAGTATCCTGTCAAATCAAAATGTTTCATTCTTGGATGGCAGTTGTTTGATTTCCTCACAGCTGGAGTCTCAAATCTCAGCATGTTGTTCTGTTTCTACTTTTCATTGTCTACTTATGTTAAACCTTATACCCTTGTGCCATTCACAAATTATTAAAACATGACATCATCTGCAGCCTGGGCTTTAACACAGCCTCCTTGTCACTGTACAATAGGCTCAATTAGTGGAGAATAGTCCTTCTATAGGCTCAGTGAGTGTTTGTGGAGGGAGAAGATGGGCGGATGTCTTTACAGGTCAGGCAGGCTGTCAAAACAAAGTATGCTAGAGTCAAAGTCTGTAAGGTGGGGGCCTTGAAAGTCACACATGGTAAGAGAGATGCTAACTGATGCAGTTTTTGATGTTTCTTATTTTAACACCAAAGCCACGAGGGACTTACGAGGCAGTTCATGGCTTTGCTTAAACTAACAGGGGATGAAATCTAAATATTCTGTCTGGGTTGGCTCTTGCTCTCTTTTTAACTTAAACTAACACATTGCTTGGTTGAGAGTGCAAAGTGCAATCATTGTTCATTTATATTATTCTGTCAATAGTCAAAGTCAGATTTTATTTCTGATTTACGGCCAAAAAGCAGTTCTTATTCTGAGGGTTCTCCATCAGGTCACTTCACTTCCGCTACTGACAAAAGAAAATGAAAAAGCTGAGATTAGAACAGAAAACCGTCAACCTCATGACTGATGTCAGGCGCCATACGTCTTCTCAAATCTGCTGTTCACGCCAGGGGGAAATATCTTAGATGATCACAGTTGTAGAAATTCAGTCCCAAATTTTTTGTACACTTCCTAAGAAAGAGACGTTAAGCATTAAAAAGTAAAATGAAATTTGAACTGTCTGTAACCTGCACTTAAGACCTGGTAAGTAAAAAGCGCACATCATTATTTATTTATCTGAACGTTTGAATAGTCGGAACATCTAAGGAGGTTTTAACTATGGCTAAGATGACTTTTCTTCAACTCAGTTAGTTTATTCTAGTTAGCAATCAGCATTTTATTTTAATGTCTAATTAAATAATAATTAGTATTACATTAAATCTAAAAGAACAAGGGGTTTAGGTGTAATTTTCACCTCTATTCTATAATGTTTACCTTTTGTAAAACATCTGTGTATGTGGGCTGACATTTGTATCAAAAAACTAAAGATCACACAATCTTGAACTTTCAAAGCTGCCCTTTAACCTTATAAAGTCTACCTATAACCAAATGCATAGAAAATTTTGGACTTTTTATTATCTATTATGCTGTTTTTGACAGAAAGAAAATATATTGATGAGATTTATTTTGTTTTCTGTGTATAAATAGCATATTTTGTCATGCAACTGTTATTGTATTGCATTTTACCAGTCAATGTTGTATTTATGTGTATTAAAGGAACAATGACGAGTAAAATAAAGTGGCATAGCCAATAATACAAATGTTTTTTATATATATATTAAGTGCTGTATTGGTTCTGATTTGTTCTTGTTCTGGAGCACCATGACAGAGGACAGTTTTGCAGTTTATGTAGCACAAATATCTTTATTTTTACACATACATTCAGATCTGTGCAAAGCATACTGGGTTAAAATTATTTATCCACATTCTGAAAGGAATTTTGATTATTTTGCAATTATTATAGGACTCAGCAGCATCAAAGGAGAACAACTCCACAGGATAGTCAGAGCCATGAGGCGGAGAACACTTGTGAAATCAATCTGGGATCGAAAAAATAATAATAATTGAAATTAAAATACTGCAAAGCACGATCTGGGCTGGAAATGAGCCTGAAGCATTCAACACTGTAACATCAGCCCACAGAAAGAGAAAATGTAGTAATGTACTTCTTTCCTTTTTTTCTTTCATTGCATCAAATATGCAGGTGGATTTATTGCAGTGATTTAAAAGCATGCAAACATCTGTCCAGTCGTGTCATTATTGTAAAAGAAGTCAAGAAATAAATTTCGTAATAAAACTGGTTGATTAAAAACAAATATATTTAATTAGGAAACGATGTGTGCATTTAGCTTTTTGGGTATATTCTCTAAACGCGCCACATGTGGAGTCTGAGGTAGACATCAGGGATCGTGTGTCTCCTGCGATATAAAAGCTAGCAGAACTCAACGGCATGAATCAAACAGATGTAACTCCGCCTTGTGTTTCCACGGTTCTTAACAGCCACCGCGTCTTGCGCCTCCACCAGTACCGAAGGTAACTCCTTCGCGTGCGTAAAGCTCCTGGACACCATGAGGACGTCGCGCACTGAATCACTTCTTCAAACATCTACAGACTAACAGAAAACACAAATATTATTTTGTTTTAGTAGGCAAGACGGGAAACGAAGAAGTATTTCAGGTGAATTTGTGCACATTTTGGCTTCTGCCGTGCGTATTTCCGCTTGAACTGATGCCTCACACTCGAGCCGCTGCGCGATTCGATTATTTTCTGAAGAGTAAATAATGTGCAAAGAAAATAAAGGATCCAGAGGGAGCTAACTGTGGACTCATTGGGATTTAATGGTCGGTGCCCTCAAAAACAAAGATTCAGTCAAACTTATGGCGTGAAGGTAAGGTGCGCTTTGTTGTTATTTATCCGTTTTAATTGATAAAAGAAAACTTGACAAAAAGGTCATTCTAACTTTTAAAATACGTAGCTGTGTTACGGTGACGTTCCTATTTCTCTAAATGACTCTTTGGGTGACTGAACGCGTACATGGAGGTGCGATTTTATTTTATTATTACAAGAGTGTGTGCGTGCGTTATCGATCAGGTTGTGATTTAGACTTGCTGAGAGAGAAGATCTAGAGTCTAGATTCTAGACAGTTCCCTCTCATTATCCAGCTCAGCTCTAAGTAAATGGGGTGCACTGTATGTCTTGGACCCGATCGGTGTGAGTCTGTGGAGCCGACCTTCCCCACCGAGTTATCAGACCCGACCCGTTAGTTTCCCAAACGGTGATCAGAGCTGGACTCTGACTAGGAAAGGCGGAAGGTCTTTGACACTGGGCTTCAAAGCCGCGCAGGTGGTCGCTGTTCCGGCTGCGCAACCTTCCCTGTGCCCGAGCTGCGCTGCGAGGGCAGCCTTAACAAGCTCAAAACAGCAGGGGAAAATAAAAGAGACACACGCAAAAAAGCAGGACAGTTTATCAATCTGTGGCTCTTCTGATGTACCCTTAAGCGTGTTTAGGCTCTTGTGACAGAGATTCTATATGTTCTGGTTTTCTCTTTTTAATAAGATTGAAACGTGTGAATGAGTCAGTCTCCCCACACTTCCCCAGTTTGTCCTCTTGCTTCTTTAAGATGCTGCGTGTAGTTAGTCTACTTTTCTTATGTGAAGCAAGTGTGCGTGCGTGTGTGTTTGTGTGTGTTGGGGATGAGGGTGGCAGTCCTGACAACAAATCCTCTCAAATGTAGAATCAGCTGAGATTTGGTAAACAGTTTCAGAAGCAATGTGAACATCTGAGGAGATCAGGTGGCACCAGCCCCTGTTTAGAAGGCAAAGCTAAACAAACACTTTAGTTGAATGAAATTGTTTCTGAATGAAAAAATAAAAAATCCATGGGCTGGTCTGTAGTGAAAGCATTTCAGAGTTAAATACCGGAGGATCAGCTGAGAGGGGCTGCTGATGTGAGTGTATTTGGCATTTATCCAGTGGCAGCACCGGACAAATATTGGATTCTTACACCCTCCTGTCCCTTATCAGTTACTCTGCTTTGTGAGCAGAACAGCTTCACTAGAGCTGCTTGATGCAGTGTTAGTCAGAATCCCAAAGCTTCGAGGAATAATTCACGTAAAGAAACATGTACGTTTTATGTAACAGGAAAAGGAGACTTGCTAACAAAAAAGTCATGTGATGTGCAGGATCTTGCTCTGGAATTGATTTGCACTGCAAGTGAGTGTCTGGAAAGAAGATATTGAAATCATGGTGGCATAGAGACAGAGGAAGTAACTGAGGGGTTTAGACTAAGCTACTTGCTCCTGTTGCATTCAACAGAAACTGTTGAATTAAACAAAAACCGAGCATCGCTGTTCATGCAGATTATTCCCAATTATAAACCCAAACAAAAGTTGTTTGTTCACCGAGTTCTGCCTCACGATCCAGTGTGGGAAATCAATATTTAAACAGACACGTTTGAATGGCTTTGACCAAGAATCTATTCAAATGCATAATTATGATTACAACACAGTTTAAAAACTGAGATGTTCCTTTCCTAAAAAGCTATTTCAACAGGATAAAAAATTTCAAAAACAGCCTGCCTGGCCTCACCATACAAAGTAAAATTAGTCTGGAACCTCCGTCTAAATTTTCTATTTCCAAAGGGGATGATAACAACAGAAATGCCTCAAGACACAATTGGACAGACCTGCAACCAATCAGAGTAACAAAGCGTGGGATGGAGCGGGAATGATGTGCTTCACTAGTGTTTCTAGTTTTTTCATCTCAGCCCCCCACAGTAAAAGATAAATGGTTGTGATTGTCTGGCCAGAGTAAAGTGGAAATCAGTTTGAACTAAACGAGGGCCAGATGCATTCTGCCAGAGCAAATTATATACATTCTGCCAGATTGGCCTCTCGAGCTAACAAAAAGATGCAACAACTCCATTCTCCCACCAGTGCCACGACATCCTGCTGGTGTATTGAAATCAGTAACAGTTTTCAGTGGGGCCATCGTTGAAAACTGCAAATTGATACTTTATTAAAGTATATATATTTTTTCTTTGACTGAAATGGAAGGATTTGGAGGGGTTGTCCTGACCAAGTGAAACACTTCATCTGATCCAGAAGACCAAGCAGGTGATGAGGCGTTAACCTCTATTGAGAGGGGGTCATTTTGTTGATTAGATGCACACAATGACCCTCTCAATAAAGGCTAACTCATCAGGGGTAGAGATGAGGGGTACCCAGAGTAGTTTCTGCTCATTCAATTAAAATAGACAGCTACAGCTTATAAGTTTGACTCCCACATTCCAGTCAGCTCCTCGGATGAGAAGCGAAACGTCTTCAAGAAAAAAAAAGAAGTCCAGTTGCCTTCATTTTATACTCTTTTGGATTACCATGACCTGGATGACTGAGAACCTTCACCAGTCACTTAAATATCTATTGTTACTTTAATGTCTGGGTCCCGACCTTAATTGTTACAGCCACTGTCTTATTCCAAAAGTGAGTCCAAATGAACTGCTGGGAGTATAGATAGATTTTTACATAAGTGTTGATTTTTTTTATATCTTATAAATGTCCATCTACATTTGAAATATGTCAGAGTGCCCCAGTCTTTAGTAGTTCCACAATGCGTGACAATATATTTCAATTTTTTTTCTCTTCTATTCTAATTCTGGAGGGAGAGATTTTTATTATCCATAGTTTTTTCACATTAGTTGGACTTAAGTAAAATTTAATAACTGAATGAATGAAATGGTAGGATGGAGAAAAAAGTAGAACTCTTCCTTAAAACAAATTACAAGAAAGACAAATCTAAATAGGAATCCAGTCTGTCTGAATATTAAAAGTAGATAGAAGTTGAATAAAACAAAATATTTTAGAGCTATAGGCTTATGTTCTCTTTAGAGGATATATTACGGTATTCCAGTGTTAAAATATATTATTATTATTTTTTAACATTTGTCTCATGTTACATTTATTAATTATATTTTGATGCAAGTGAAATACCAAAATACATAAAAATATGTATTAATTAAAAAAAATTCCATTCAAACTGATTAACACTGAGCAGCGACACTAAAGGAGACCACAATGTCTCAAAGAGAACATGGGAATAGAAAAAAATGACTTCATATGCAATGTCTTTGGAATTCTTTTCATTGTCTGATGACCATTTGTGATCAGTTTTCGACTGGCCTAGAACGTTACAGGAGTGGACAACTTCAAAACACAAGTTCTGCCACAGTAAGCAAAATGAAAAAGCTCTGCAGCAGCAATGTTTATCATGAAATAAAAAAATAAAAACATCAGGAGTGCTCAGGAGCTTTTGTGACCTTTGTGTGGTTGTGCTTCAGCTGCAAGTAAGCAGGGATTTAAATATGACTGGTTAGCATTTTCCCAAACTGGTCGCTCACAAAGCCCTCAGGCTTGTCCTGTAAAGGATTGCTAATTTAAACAGCAATGCAATGGTTGTGTATGTCACTAATGCAGCACGGGGCTAATGTGACATCCCAAAGCACAGCTGAGTGGTGCATATCCCGTGTCTTACATCATATGCATGGTAGTTATGTGGCTGAAGTGGGTTGACAATGTTTTGACAAGTAAAGCATTTAATTTTATTGGATCTCTGCGAACACATCCATCTGGCCTACATCCTCGCCCTGCTGAAACGTGTTCCCTGGCATGTCAAATATGTCTCCACTCAAGGGACCATCACAGAGAAGGATATAAGGATGGAGGAGACAATTAGGTCTGAAAACCAGTAGGAGATGTATTATAAGCTTGTCGTGCTCCAAGTGGCAGAGCAGAAAGCTGCTTATTTTGCTTGTGCAATCATGCGTATTGCTATCTTTAGTATTTATAAACAATGTGGCACCTAATGAGTATCTGGAACCAGCCTTGTGTTGTAGGGAACAGGCTTTAATTCTGTTGTTCCTTACTTAATGTAGCATTTTAATACTTATTCTACAGTATTTGCAGTTTATTTTAATACTTTTGCATAGTTACTAAAGCAACTGGTTGTTCAAAAATTTAAAAATAACTTCAAAGGAACTGGTGGATGGAAGTTCATCAAAATGCATCAACAAAAACAACTTATTGGTTTTTGTCTTTTAGAGTCAGAGCAGAAGCTAAGAAAAACTTATAATGCCTAAAAAAAGGTACTTTGAACCTGTCCCAGAATCCCTAAGTTAGCGATGTACGGTTGAAATAAACATTCATGCACCTGATATTCCCCTGAGATGTGTGTTAGCTACAGTCAGATTGGAGCATCATAGGCAATCAGGCACCTATTTCTACAACCACATTAGCACTTGTGTATTAGAAAGAAGTGCAGAACTCACATCACTTACAATCTGTGTCCTAATTGGCTGTGGCTATGTGGGAGCCACATGGAAATTCAAAGGTAAATGCCTTAAAAACTCCTTTGAGGCTACCGCAAGGGAATTCTTTGAACAGCCTGGTCCTATAGGAGGGGAGACGTTGTTTCTCAAGTGACAAGATGACTATTAAACGAAAAGGGAAAGGCACGAAGCTTAATAGCAGAAGCTTGAAAGAAAAAGCCGTATTTCCCAGGAGAAATAAGAATTCTTCCTAGTTATCTTCCCAAGTTGTGTGTTGGCTCGGAATACCTTGAAACAAGAGCACACGGACCATTCAAAAGCATCTCTTTGTAGACTTTAGACTTGAGTAGCACCAATTCCAGATCATGCCAACTTCAGCAGATGACATGCCTGACACCAGAACCCGAATGGAGAACTCAGCTCTTGTGAATATGTGTCCAAACAATAAACAATTTAAGTGTGTGGAAAGGTCTAATTTCAGAACACTGATGAAAATCATCATGTTGGATAAATTTCTTTTCCTGTCTGGTGTTGAATTATAAAAAAAGACAACCCTCCAGTGGCAGT